CATCTGTAGGCCGCGATTGTCATGTAGCCGAAGATCCGTTTTGAACCAGTGAACGACGGCTGCATTGGGCCGGATTTTCTGACGTTCATCCAACGTGTCTTCGTATGCCCTATGTAGGGATTCGATGGGTCGTTCCAGCGTTCCGTTATTGTACGCCTCGCACCGTTCGTTGCACATCTCAGGGGGGTAGAAGTCACGCAGGACGATACCGAAGTCTTCGGTATCTTTGGCATGGGGATGTGGACGCGTAAGATCGGGCTTTTCGCGTTTATTGGTGTGCGACGAGGCACCATTGGTGGCAGAACTGCTTGATGCCTTGCGCTTTTGCGGTGGCATGGTGCTGATTAGCGTTACGAAGGCGCGATGAAGAGATATGATCCTGTAGATGGGAACTTTTTGGATGTTGACAAGTGGTCGGACGCGCAAACTCTGAAAAAACATTCCGCGATTGATTTTCAAAGGGCAATGAGAATGGCAGGGTTTCGTGGAGCTCTGGGGTTAGATCGATCGAAGATCTGGACCGCGTCAGGGACGCTGACGTCAATACCCGGGAGATTAACTATCTCAACGGAACAACGTCCCTGAGCCGGGATCTGTTCTAGATCTCGCTCAACAGTGCTTCGATTATTTTAGGCTACCTTGACCCATTCTTGCAAGACATCTCGTGGTCCAAATCGATGATGGAAAGGGTTTTGGAGAGATATGGTCACCTTGACGCCAGCCATAACACTCCTCGCCAAAGCCACTTATCCACCATGCTGCTCGATCAATAGGTCGCCTAAGCAAGCAAATTGGTGAGCGCACATGAGTGCATCGTTCATAATCCAACGGTGCTTTGATAGATCCACAAATGGTGCCTTGGCTGTCCACTATGATGAAGCAAGCGTTCGGTGGTCGTCTGGGGATGCAAGTGTTTGTAGCCCGGACAGAAACCGAGTCCACTACCCCATGATTAACTATGATGGCGATGCTCATAGTAGGCTGAGAAGGATAACTGGACAGAAGGAGTACTCCGTCCGACCAGACGTTGTACCATTCTCAAGTAAGGCACACCTGCGACTGAGTGTCTGAATCATCCATATGCAGTCATGCATGCATTAGAATACAACCAGGCAAGCAAGGTAACTGGTGAGTTGGTAGTTTAATGCACCTGAGGTTCTAACCTCAATGCCTCTTGCCTTTTGTGCCTAATAGCAGTTCATAGACGGGACGCTGGATCCGATCAGAATTTCCTGCTAATACAGGGGCATCTCGAGGAGAACCCACAAACTTGAACGATGAAGTTTAGGGAAGGTCCCAGGATAATTAAGATGCTCCACTCCGACGTGGGAATGCAAACAGCATTGAGTAGTGCCTTGTGTCCCCTGATAAGCAGGATTGGGGAAAGGCATAAATTATACGGAGTACATGGCGATTTGCGGGACTACCCGAAGAGGCAGGAGAAGCCAAGGGTAGCAGTGGTGCCTGAGGCCGACAGGCAGCAGGTGTTGTGACTTTCCGTGTGTACCCCGCCAAGCGTGGCAGAATGAAGATTTTAACCCAACAGTAGGATGAGCTCTTTCTGAACAGCAGACAAAAAAGGCATATGTGATAGTGATCTATCTAATTAAGCAGTGCAACTTTACACCCCGCTTCCCTGACATCCACTGTACAATCAACACATTATAGGACGTGCCGCCCTTGATGCACGCCCTACCAATGGCACGGCGGTTTGGAATCTGATGGAAAGAGGCTGAATGAAGGACTCTGAACTACCCCCCAAAGCGGACCACGTCAACCAAATTCAAAAAGCACCCGTGGCATCTTCTTGCCTAACACTCTCTACTCCACCACTGGTGTTTGGCAAGCCAGTGAATACAATCAGTGTATGTCCAGCAGCTGTGTTTGGAAGTGCAAACCCTTGAAGATATTTGCATTCAGCCCAGTATTTTGGTTGCTTCTGTTCGTCCCCGTGACTACTAGCACGTAGATGGCTGCGCTATTCCTCTTCTGCTGGGGCCTGTTCTGGCATTAACTCCGATCATTATCTCCGAATACCCAATCGTTATCTCCGAAGGATATCATTCACGTTCGTGATACCTGCCATGTCAATGTTCAGGTCTCCTAGGGAGGTATCGTCCTCGGATACGTCCTCGGATGCATCATCGGACGAAAGTCAACATGATATGTCTACGACAGACTGCGTGCCCACCCAAGGTACACAGCAGAATAAGGAAAATGGTGTTGATGAATCTCGTCTGCTCCAGGACAATGCCCATCAAGACCATGAAGCTGATTCCGGCACTGTGTTAGAGGGTGATACAAAGGGCCATTCGAACATGATGACGGCCGCTCTTCTCGAATTCTACTGTCTTAGTCGGGCGGCAGACATCTTAAACAAACAGGCGGGCTCGAATGGACGGTACACGCGTGATTCGCCCGAAGTGCGATATCTCGGGAACCAGTTATACACGCACAAGTCTGCATTCCTGTCCTCGTTAGGCGCGTTGTCTCAGGGAATCGAAGGAGATGAATGGGGAGCGACAAGACAATATTATCGCGACAATCCTGATATGCTGGGCATGTCTATGCTAGATAGACTCAAAATCAATGATGTCGGTGGACAGCAATCTGGAATCACAACAGCATCCGATGCAGGCCTGAGCTCAGAGCAAACTAAGGCTCTCCAGCTGTGGCCAATTAATACAAAACTGGACATGGTGCAGGCCGGACATAGTCGTGCTGGACTGCCAGGCGGCCAAAAGAGACTAGTTGGCCACGAAAACGTCCATACCTCACGAAATTTTCCATTTGATCTCACAGCCTTGCTTGACTCGCCGGTGCACCTTCCAGGAAGCTCACCTGTTGGCCTGCCTCTATTTCAGCCCAAACCACAACCCCCAAACAGTCATCTGTCACGGTATATCATGGAGTTTACTGAGGTCAAAATCCTCGGCCGTGGCTCATTTGGCGAAGTATATCATGTCAAAAACCATATAGACGACCAGGACTATGCAATCAAAAAAATCCCCCTCAGTCAACGACGGCTTCAGCAGCTACAAGGCGGCAGCCAGAACCAGCTGGAAAAGATTATGAAGGAGATTCGAACACTTGCTCGACTTGAGCATACCAATGTCGTTCGATATTATGGCGCCTGGGTAGAACAGTGCCACGCTTCCGGTTATGCTGCTTCTCTGCACGAGCGGTCTGATGATATCGAATCCGCACAGATGCAAAGCTACACTTCTAGCCGGGAAATGACAAACAGCCAAAGCTTTGGGATCGTTTTCGAGCAGTCAGAAACTTCGACTGTATCACACCAGACATTACCATTGGACCTTGAGTCAAAGCCGTCCAGTACATACCATCGCCGTCTAAGTCACGCCAGTGTGGGCAGCCACACTTCGAAGGCAACGTCTACCCATGACACCGTGGACGATGATGAAATAGAGTCCATTCCACGCAACTTCAGCCTCAACTCACAAGAACCTCTGTCTACCTTCGGTGGCACCGACGATGATATTTTCACGGATGGCCTCAGCGAAGATCCTTCCAAACTGCAAATTCAGCGGAAGTACCGAAGCGCAGCTCAGCTTCCCGCCGTTGTTCTACACATCCAAATGTCATTACACCCCATCTCGCTGAGCTCTTACCTGAACCCACAACCAAGTGCAAACACGGAGCATGACAAATCGCTCCCACGGCGCCACTGCTACCATCTGGTGCCTTCTCTAAAGCTAATGTTGGAGATAATCTCCGGAGTTGATTATCTTCACTCCAAGAAGATAGTGCACCGCGATCTGAAGCCAGCTAATATCTTCCTCTGCGCTCCGGACAAGAAGCAACTGGATGGATGTACTCCCTGTACAAGCGTACATGGGCCAATCTACAGATACTGCCATCCTCGCATCGGTGACTTTGGGCTTGTCGCAGACATTTCGCACATCAACGACTGTCCTCCAGAGGGTTCGTCCACAATGCCACAAGACGCAGAGATCCACACCGTCGTCGGAACCGAATTCTACCGTCCGCCTATCCATGCCAGCAAGGCAAGAGGGGCTGAATCCCCGGGTCATAATACCAAACCAGCATCTGTGTACGTCATTGATGAGACCCTCGACGTATACGCGCTGGGTGTCATCTTGTTTGAACTGGTATATCCACTGAACACTAAAATGGAGCGCCAGCTCGTCCTCACAGGGCTCACCCGAGGATCACCGGGGCAAACGTCAACCACATCTATTTTCCCAGGAGACTTCTCACAGAAGCTTCACATGGGCTCTATGGCCCTAACTGATGGAACGTCGGTCGCCGACCATCTGATGACGTGCATAAGGGGCATGTTGGAGCCTGATCCGCAACAGCGCTGGCGCTCACCGCAGATTAAGAAGTATCTTGAGGAGCTTCTTTCTCAGGTGCAGGGTCTAAGCTAGACTCATGGTGTGTTAAATGTCTCCGACGGTTGAGATTCGGGTTAGGTAATAAACTGGTTAATGGATTAGTTGGCGTTGGCGATGTACAAATGTCCAACAACGTACTGGAGACCTGGAACTTGTGTGTCGATTAGCGTGAGACAGGAAAAGGGGCCATGTAAATTATCTAGAGGCGAGCATAGCGTTGTGTACCGAATCGGATAGATCGCACATTCCCTGCATGTAGTGACACCGACTATTGTAAAGTTGTGAGAGTCACTCCGTAGACAGCGGCGAACTCCCCGACCGCCACAACAAGCAGGGCCTCGGCGATGCTCCGACCAGCCCGAACCCCTTCTCCACCACCTCCAATTCGCGGGGGTTGCAAACCAAGTAGATTCATCTCTTCTTCAATTCATGACTGTACATTCTAGTATACACCCATACACTGATGTAAGAACAACAACCATGTCTCAAGATGATAGCACGGCAGAGGAAGGGGGAAGGCAACTTTTCACACATTGTTGGGTGAATGCTCTCCCAGCAACCAGCCAAGCATAAAAAGTAAAGAAAGACTCACTGGGATGCGGCTACTGCGTCACCCCGCAACGATGATATGCCGAAGCACGCGGGCGATCAGTTCCCCGACCGCGGCCTCTCCCCGTCCATACAACGGCGGTATATATATCAGCGGATTCCAGACCTTTGCCCATTCAATCCCTTGCGTTTGGCTATCTTGTGCACGACCTTTCACCCCGAGCATTCCCCCATACCAGTGACCTCCATCGCCTTAATTGGTGAGATTTGACAGTATATCGGATTAGCTGCGAACTTCCATAGAATTACAAGCTCGATAGGACAAAAATGGCGAAAGAGAAGCAGTTGTCTGCACAGCAGATCTCTCAACACAAGACGCCCGACGATTGTTGGATTGTGGTCGACAATCAGGTATGGGATGTGACGGACTTCTTGGAAGAGCATCCGGGTGGATCTTCAAGTAAGACTGCAGCGCTAAAGCTCCTAATAGTTATCTAGAACAATATATACTGACACGTGCTTTCAAGTTATCCTCAAGTACGCGGGACGTGATGCCACCAAAGCATACTCTGAAGTCCATGCTCCGAGTGTCATCAAAACACAGCTACATCCAGAGCGAAATATGGGAGTGTTGGATGAAGCGACAATCAGCGATGATTGGGTGAAGCAGCCGCCCACTGAGAATCCACCTCTGCTCCTAGAGAATGAGAAGCCACCCCTACACACCCTGATAAACTCCCACGACTTCGAATTGGTAGCATCGAAAACTGCCAGCAAGAAAACGTGGGCCTTCTATTCCAGTGCTTCAACGGACCTTATCACGAGGGATGCGAACAAACTCTGCTTTGACCGCATATGGCTGCGACCGAGGGTCTTAAGGAATGTACGATCAGTCGACACGAAGACCAAGCTGCTTGGAATCGACACCGAACTCCCGCTGTTCGTTAGCCCAGCAGCAATGGCGAAGCTCATCCATCCGGATGGTGAGTTGGCAATCGCAAGAGCTTGTGGGAACAAAGGCATTTTCCAAGGGGTATGCTCGCCATCTGAATGATTTCATCATCGCTTCTTCCATTCTGATTTCTTGCGTAGGTATCTAATAATTCTTCCTATCCTCTCGACGACCTGCGCAGCGCTGCACCTTCAGTGAACATGTTCTTTCAGCTCTACGTGAACCGCGATCGTGCCAAGTCCGCTGCTCTCCTCCGCCAATGTTCCGCCAACCCCAATGTCAAAGCTATATTTGTAACGGTTGATGCCGCCTGGCCCGGAAAGCGCGAAGCAGATGAGCGCGTGAAAGCCGACGAAACGCTATCAGTCCCGATGGCACCATCCAAAGCAAAGAATGACAAAAAAGGTGGCGGCCTCGGGCGAGTAATGGCAGGATTCATTGATCCGGGATTGATCTGGGAGGATATGGTGTGGGTGCGGCAGCATACACATTTGCCCGTATGCCTGAAAGGTGTCATGTCGGCTGACGATGCGATCCTTGCCATGGAAGCCGGGCTCGATGGCATTCTGCTAAGTAACCATGGCGGACGGAATCTTGATACTAGCCCACCTTCTATTGTCACTCTATTGGAGCTTCACAAGCGGTGCCCGGAGATCTTCAATCGGATGGAGGTTTACGTCGACAGTGGTATCCGGCGGGGAACTGACATTCTTAAGGCAGTGTGCCTGGGCGCAACGGCGGTTGGAATGGGACGCAGCATGCTCTTTGCGACTAATTACGGCCAGGAGGGAGTGGAGCATTTGATTGACAGTAAGTGCTTTTCATTCTGTTTCCTTCTGTACACACATGAATACTCGCGATCCCTGCTTGCTAACAGCATACATCGTCAGTAATGAGAGACGAGCTAGAGACAGCTATGCGTAATGTAGGGATTACTAGTCTCGACGAAGCTGGTCCCCATTTAGTCAACACTGGAGACATAGATCACCTGGTCCCCACCTCGGCCACCCATCCGTATGCGCGGATGGTAGCTAAAGGCCGACGTCCAATTGGACCTAGGCTTTGATATCGATGCTATTTGTAATGGGTCATTATACTTCGATGAACGCAAGAATACAAGCATGCAGACTAGCTGGCCAACAGCAACAATGGCAGCCTTAAGCCACGGATAACAAGGCCTTTGATTAGGTAGCTCTCATCCGATAGTCAGACAATCTCGCCAGTCGAGCATGCTTGCGTATCATCACGAGATGGATCAAATGATGGCAATGGTCTAGACGGAGTTGACATAGAAACAACAAGAGCAATATGATCCACAATTGTTTCCCTTCGCATCTCCATTCATAAATGCCATGTTCTATCCTGGAAGTGGCACATTGCTGGGATGATCCTCAATGGATCAACTGATTCCGCATACTGATTAGATGCTTATGTCGCATGAGCAATTGCCCGTACTGGTAGTCCGTTCTTCTGTCAGGGTAATACATGTTTCTAGGCAGATGACCGGTTCTTCATTTCGACCACTACTTGGCATGTCGGCACTTCATCAAGTGGCGGATGAAGTCCAATCCATAGCAGGAATAGACCTATACCCAGCAAGCACCATTTATGAAGCTTTATGAATTATCTTCACTTTCGCAGCGCCACTCCCCACAACTGACTCGAGACGCGAGGAGAGAGACGACTGGAGATCGGGGGAACCGGTGGAGACGGGCCCGTTTTTGGGATCATCAACTTCCTGTCATCTCGCTTAGCCGCTGGCGTGTTTCTACCCGGCGCCAAACCCCAATTTATCTCCGGCAGAGTACAACTTCATCTTATCCATTCGATCTGTCAAGCTTCCTGTCCATCCCGACCTCGTATGAGGGATCCGCCTTGAGCGCATGGCGACTCTATCGACGAATGCGTGATCCTTCATGGTTCTGCCAATCTGCAGCCCTCATAACTTCTGAAACAGCCATTCCTGAGCAAGGCCATTGGGCTGCTTCGACCATAGATCCTTTCATCAAACTGGAACGGATCTGGAGATGACGGAAGCTTCGCTTAGCTTGATCAGTAGTCAAGCAGTTTGGCAGAGCTGATCATCCGAAAAATGTTAAATAGCATGAACGGCTCTCGAAATGATTCTTTTCTACAAGCAGATCGTTCTCTTCCGACTCGTCAGTCTTTCATTCTTTTCACTTTGTGAACTTCATTGATTGAAGTCTTTCCATTCTTTTGTCACTCTTTAGAAATTCCGCTGTGCGTGAATCAACATAAAATGCCTCTTTCTAAGATCGCGGGAGTCCTGCTGGCCTCAGCTTCCCTTGTGGCCGGACATGGTTATGTGTCGAGCATCGAGGTCGACGGCACTACTTACGGTGGCTACCTCGTTGACACCTACTACTACGAGTCTGATCCCCCGGAGCTGATTGCCTGGTCCACGAATGCCACGGACGATGGCTATGTCTCTCCCACTCAATACGACAGCTCCAACATTGTCTGCCATCGTGGCTCCGCTCCCGGTGCCCTCGCTGCTCCGGTTACTCCGGGTGGAACTGTCAAGATGACCTGGAACACTTGGCCCGATGACCACCATGGCCCGGTGATCACCTATCTGGCCAACTGCAATGGCTCCTGCTCTGATGTCGACAAGACGGCTCTGCAGTTTTTCAAGATTGATGCTGGTGGCTTGATCGATGATTCCGAGATTCCTGGTACCTGGGCTACCGACAAGCTCATCGATAACAACTACAGCCGGAGCATCACCATTCCGTCCGATATTGAGGCTGGAAACTACGTTCTTCGCCACGAGATCATTGCCCTGCACGGTGCTGAGGACCTGGATGGCGCCCAGAACTACCCCCAGTGCATCAACCTGAACGTCACCGGAAGCGGTACTGCCACCCCAAGCGGAACCCTGGGAACTGCATTGTACAAGGACACCGACCCCGGCATCTACATCGACATCTGGCAGAGCATCAGCAGTTACACCATCCCCGGCCCGACCCTCTACACTGCTGGCAGCACTGCCACCGCTGCTGCTTCTTCTGCGACCACCACTGCTGCAGTCACCAGCGCCTCGACGACCGAGGCTGCTGTTGTGACCTCCGCTGCCACGTCTTATGCTAGTGCCGGGTCCCAGACGACCATGGTCACCTCCTCGCGTCCTCAGCCCACTGGCAGCTCCGGCAGCTCCTCCAATGTTGGTAGCTCAGGTAGCACCAACAACCAATCCGGCAGTGGCTCAACGGCTGGTGGACAGTTCGGTCAAACCCAGCCTGGCATGGCAGGCTCCGACAACACCAGCCCCTCCGATTCGGCCTCTACCCCCACCAGCTCCGCTCCCAGCGCTGCTTCTAGCTCCGCATCTTCGGCTACTTCGGGCGTCTTGAGCGGCTCCTGCAGCCAGGAAGACTACTGGTACTGCAATGGCGGCACGGCGTTCCAGCGTTGCGTCAACGGCGAATGGGACGCGTCTCAGAGCATGGCTGCGGGCACTGAGTGCACTCCTGGAATTTCGGAGACGCTAACCATCGCTGCATCTTCAAAGCGTCGTGATGTTAGCGGTCTTCGCCGTCGCCGGCTGTGAAAAAGTTTACCGGTTTCTCGGTAGTGGTGTGATAGGGGATCTGTGGCATACGCGACCTGAATTATCTTTCTCTTCATGTGTATATTTACATTACCTTGACCAGCTCTTGAGGCTTTGACAATGAAAGATATCAAGCTAAATAACCCGCGTTTAACGTAAAATACATTCCATCGCCTTTCATCTTAAAGTGATATTGTAGTCTTATCTTAAACTTATAGATCCTTGGCTTCTTTCTTACCTTCTTAGGATGCCAGGGTTGTATGATAGAGTGGTAAGTACTGCTAGCAGATGATGATTGAAGGTGCAAATTTCGGTGCTAGTCCTGTACAGCCGGGGACTATCTACTGTCGATCATCGGGGACTCGTAAACCAATGATTTCATCAGCGAGACACCAAATTTTTCACAAAACCCGTCACATTTTCTCTTAGGGTCAATGATAGGAGCAGAGCTGAAGACATATCCTTCTAGTTTAGCAATTAGTGTAGGTTATCGGGATTTGAACTCCACTAACTCACTCCGACAAGCGTCTCGGGATTTGCGATATAGCGGCAAACTAGCCGTCAGCTGAAGTTGGAGCTGAAAGATGTACATGGTATATACTCTTTCAAGTAAATCAATGACCTGGATCTCAACAAAAAGGAAACATGCTGCTGGTCTATAAAAGTCAGTACCCGAGTCACGATAGCATCCACATATCACCACTTGACTCCCATCTTCTCATCCCTTCTCAAACGTCCAAATAAGTCAGAAAAAAAGAGAAATTCCAAAAGCTATCCCCTTACCAACGAACAACATGAAATTTTCAGCCATCTTCTCAGCTGCTGCCCTCTTTATTGCCCTCGTGGCAGCCACTCCCACGCCCGCGAACGAAGCCGTCGCGGAATCAGCTCCCTCACAAGTGGTATGTATTTCTCATCTGAAAAAAATGAAATCCGATTGAAGCCACCGATGTAAAACTAACGAAGACCCGTGGCCTTAATAGAATTCATGCCCCGATCTAGCGGCTACGACTTGCTGCGATTCCTGCCGATTTGAATTTGGAGAAGAAGGTGGCATCGCATGTTGCGAGAACTGCGGCTGTAGCGTTCAGTAGGATACTTCCATACCTTATACACGGTCATGGGAAGAATAATGATGGTAGGGGTGGGACGTGAGGTAGCTTCTTGAGGGGATACGTGGCGAGATTGCTGTGGGATACTTTGGGTTTGTTCCTGATCGTCATGACTTGCGCTTGATCTGTTGTGTCTTGTGTGCCTTGATATCGGGTTTCCCACAACAGTTGGAAGGATTCCCAACATATGGTTGTGCGAGTGTCAAGGTCATGTAATCGCGTGAACGAATGATATAACAGATGATTGGATTGGTTTTTATGGGTTTCAATTGTCAAGAGTAATCTCGGGACGGTCGTAAGCGTGGCTTGTGACTCTGTTTGAAGCCTGCCGAAGCATTTGAATCAAACGCAGGGATATTCACTAAATCCTATCAATCGAACTTCAGATTACTCTCTATAATCACGAGCAAGTAATTACCCGTCTAGATTCATCCAGCGATGGCTTGCAAGGTACTACATAGCTAATTGACTTTATTTACGATAGAAATCATCTAGCCGGGTATATTCCCATGTGCTTGAACATCAACTCGGACCGAATGATTATTAGGCTGCGGAGGATTAGTATCAGTTATTGTAGGGCTTTTCTTGATTTTACACCGGCCACGCAGGTGATCTTGAAATTATCCACTACTATCAGAACACGGTAAGTGCGAGTTCAGCTACTCTGGACCTGGCTTAGAAAGAGGGTGGTCGGAAAGGAAGCTCCATAACAATAATGGATTTGACGACCTGCGGTGAAAAGCAAGAGTAATATGTCACCGAGGAAAAGGGAAGGAATTCTCCAACCAGCCACGGGGACACTTCAACCCCTGTGGAGTGGTTGAAGCATGCAGACTTTTAAGGAATGCGAAAGAGCCTTTGGGGGTTCACTTTGTCTGCTGTTCCGTTTTATAACTACTTGCTCCTTAATGAGTAGACAGGCCTTTGGTAGTGAGTCCACTTATAAGGCTAACGATTCTCTCCCCACGATTCCGCCAAAAGGAAGACTGATTTCGTTACCCCCTTTCTCGTAAACCTTCTACATAAATTCCAAGTCACATCATGAAATACTCTGTTTAGCCAGTATCCCATTGGTATGCCGGAACGTGGGCGCTTGGCAAGGCAGAAGCAGTAACGTATGTGCATCCTCAGCCGTTCAGCCGCACGGATGGGTCGATCAGCCCAGCCACCTCAATAGTTTTATTCTTGCTTCTGCCTCTTCGGCTCGGAAAATGCCTCAATGTAGTTCGAACTGCGGGGTAATCTCCTATAACGAGCGCGCTGAAGCCTGCCTGCTGCATTCGCTGCTCGGGGCCGGTTACACCGAGAAAGCAGCTGATAACCCGCCTTGTGATAGGAAGAGATTATCTACTACGGTTTCCTTGTCCAGACTAGCAGAGAAACACCTTTCGTCGGTGTTTGGACTGCAAGGTAGCCGGCTTTTGATACGGTTGACATGTTCATTACTGCGCTGCAGCCCCTGTACATGTCTTGCTGATAATAGGTAGATAGATACTTGACCTACAACACAGAATGTCAGAGTATACTGATAATAGAGATGCGGGTTGCGTTGACTACGATATCGCAAGTAGAATTGTTGGCAGACAGGTAGTTAAATAAGGGAAATGTGATACCGGGTAGTTATTGTAGGCTTCTCAAGAATGTAGCTGGGTTATAGTCATAGCGTACTCCAACTCCATTGTATGCGATAGTACCTGTGTCAGGTGAGATATTTCCTCCCCTTCATTAAATACGATCCAGCATATAAGTAGTTGAGAGACGAGCGATCCCTGTCATCGGGCCTACTGGCTAGCCTAGGATCCCCGGCTCCCTGCTGGAGATCTACAGAGGGGTTGTTGCGAGTACTCTGTTTAGTGTTATCGCTCGCTAATCACTGGATTGCCACTGCCATAGTACTACGTACCACGGTAACGAAGTAGGCTGAACCTAAGTCTCCTGGAGGGCTGCGTATAATTATTTCAGTCGCACGGGTGGATCATACAGTCGAGCTACTTCCAATATTGAAGATGGCCAGTCTACAAAGTAATTCACCCCGCGCAGTAGCATTGCCACTTTACAACCGGCCACGCCCAGCTGAATCCAGCTAGTCAACATCTGCTATTTATTTTTGTTCCGCGACACTGAGTAGTTCCACTTTGGGGGAGGATTTGCGGGGAGCATCCCAGATGTCTAGGGTGTTTACCCAATTTCTTGTTAACGAAAAAGGTTCTTCAACTATGCCCGCTTTTACTGGCATGCTTGATCTATGTCTTCCTCCTAATTCTTAAATGCAGGGTGATGGCTCACTGATCTAATTGCTAAATTACCATCGTTTCACGAGCATTGCAGAATCCTGTTCAATGCCTACTTTCCACAGTAGACAGGGTGCCAGTAACGCATTGGGTCTAGTGTATCCATGCAAATTGTAGGCAGCAGGAGGTAGAAATGCTTGCACTAGGACTGCTAAGCTGGAGGTTGGAAAATAGTGCCATGCTGACGAGATGTCCATAGCTGCAAGCCTAAGTGGGCTAAGAAAACTAGACTATATGAATCTCTCCGCACTAACCTCTCCTGCAGATGCCATTGGAGAATGTTATACCTAACTGATGTTGGTAATCCCAGGATGAGGTGCTCTCTGGTTCAATTGACAGGCCGATACTGGTTTACAGCCATTGTAGGAAGATCGGCTAAAACTAGTCTATATTTGGCAAATAAATGGTTGGCTACGCAGTTGATGTCTCCCCCAATACTGGCTGAGCTATCGTAAATGGCTCACGCAAGCCTTAATAGGTTATTGACATACGAGCTGAATAGTTTGAGGACCACGCACTGCCCTAAAGTACTAGGGATGCATTACCTGGGTAAAAAAAAACAAAATACAAATCATTCACATATATAGTCGTTAACCATAAATCACTAATTGTCGACACAAACACCGGCGCTTGACGACGTTTGCTAAAGCGAATAGGCTAGCGATTGCTGCCTCTCTTGTTGGGATCGATAAAGCAACAATCATACCTCCGAGGCGGGTAACTGTTGCAATGGCTGTGGTTGTCAATAGATCATGTCCGGCATGGTACGCAAATACCGGCCCTTAATCAAGGCAACGCTATATGCTAATAATTGAGAAGGCATACAGTGACTGGATAAAATCTGTTTTATCATTCATTTAACAAAGCTAAAAATTCAGATTTTTCATGATTTGAAAGCATTATTAAGTTACATCAGGCCTTCCGTTTAGAATCAATGTATACACAGTGACTGAATAAAGTATACAATACTACGATAGCTTTCATCTAACAAACATACTGCATCCATACCTGTCGATGAACTCACTATGGACTTGGACAGCGCATTGCAGACCCTAGGCGACGTGCTGAAATCTTGATCTAGTGAATTAGGCCCGCCGTTCAGTCAAGCATTGACGTATCATTACCCAGGACTTCAGAGGTGATGTATCTATCAAAGGCGGCTTTTCATACATAATCTACGTAAACAATATCTACTAAGGATGCCAATGCCACACCGTTTACTGTCACAGTGTAGCAAGTAGTACTTGTGGCAATTTTCCAAGCCAGAAAAGCCACAACCCAGCTACCGTAAGATGAGTCGGATCTGATAATCTTACCCGCTCTCAGGTGCCTTCCTATCCCTTACTTAGCTTGATCTTCCCGAAGTTCCGGTTATAGCATGATCTACTCACACAATTTATACAACTAATAAGTGATATACTAGCACCCATGTGCCCTCTGCGGTCGTTGAATAAAATTAGCACCTTGAGATTTTGCTTTTGTTTGCCATTGTCACACCCTTCTACTTTTCATGAAAGTGCGTTGGCTACAGAAGGTTAGTTTGATTGTCATACATCTCCCACGATGTCTCTTTTCCTCTTTTTAGGACCTAAACTCA